GAATTTTTTGTTCTTATCAAATAACTAAAATTTCTAGAAGAAATTTCTAAAACTGAAGGACAATAATATTATACAAATTTTTCAATGTTACAATTTATTTGAAGATTGTAATACTTGGAAATTTATATAAATACACTTGAATTATACAAATTTTCCTAAAAATGAAATTCTTAAAATTGCAATCAGAAACAGTAATCACTTTAAATAACTTTTTTCAAATTTGAAAACAGGACCTTATATCTCAAAATCACTTAGATATATTACTTTAAAAATATTATTCTTTGGAGTAATAAAGAACTAAAAAAAGATATCAATTTAAACTTTATAATAGAAGCTTTTGTAGAATTCAATATCAATAAATTTTTACAATTAGAAGAGATACAACCTTCTCTAATTGAAATTCTACTTAATAAAGTACTTATAGAGTTAGAGAGTAATAATACTAATCATCTAACTCAAATAATAAATAATTTAAAACAGACACTAGTATCAACAACTTGAAGTATAACCAATCCTTTTTCTAAAGGAACATGAAAAAAACAAGTTAATTGAATCTTAAAATTCTTATTCACTCCTGAATGTACTTAATATAACCTTAGCAAAAAAATTGAAGTTTATTACTATTTAGAATAATCTCAAAGTCTAACAATTTTTTAGTAATTAAAGACTTTATTTAGAATGTTTAAGTAACAAGAAGAGCAAAAGACACTTGGAAAGATGCTTTCAGAATATATAAAGTCTTCAAATTACAACTAAGAAAAATAATCCTATAGTTGAAATATATGACTACAATATATATTATTAAGTTGCTAAATGATGAGTACATCAAACTTCTTAAATCGATTAGAACATAAAATTTACAAAGTAAATTTTTAAAGAAAACAGAAATGTTATAGAATAAATTATTATTATTTTATTATTATTAGTTATTATTATTATTTTATTATTATTATTATTTAGTATGTTATTTTATTATTGTATTATTATTATTAGTAGTTGCTAGAACTTTCTGGTTGCTTAGTAATTGTTTAGTTACTTAGTTGCCTAATTGCTTAGTTGCTTAGTTGCTTAGTTGCTTAGTAATTAGTTGCTTAGTAACTATTAGTTATTAGTTGCTAGAACCTTTTGGTCACTTAGTAATTAATTAGTTACTTAGTTACTTAATACTTAGTTACTTAGTCACTTAATCACTTAGTCACTTGGCCACTTAGCCACTTAGCTTACAGATATATAAATTCTGCTAAACTCTCTAAGTGCAATTAAGCAACAAACACTTCTCTTTTCTTTAATATTGTAAACACATTTTGAAATTTTTTAGAAACAGAAATCTAAGGATAGCTCTTCTTGTTATTACTTTAATAAACAGCTTTTGACTATAAACTGTATTGATACTTTTCTTTTAGAATAATTCCTACAGGCAAGGTTTATTCTTCTCTTAGTAAAATAAAGTAAAGTTATTAGTATTGCATTACCTTTTCTGAATTGCTTTAAAGAAGAATATAGTTTTTTGACAATATCTAACAGAAGCTATACTTTCTTTTTTGACACTGCATATACCTGTAAGGGATTCACTGTGCCATATCATCATTATAATGTGAAAATTAAGAAAGCTTTCATCTATAACATTACAAATAGTAATTATACAAGACTTTATAATACTACTAGCTAATAACATTTTTGTTTTCTAAGTAAAGTAAGATAAAAATTCTTTTTGAATTCTTTTGTATAATAAATATTAATGTTCTTTTAATGCCAATAATAGCTTTGACAAAGTTTTTTTTAGTAAAATGTTATATTTTCAAAAAGTACTCTAAAGTGTATAAATAAGTTATCTAGAAAATTGATTTATATTAGCTAATTAAATGAATATTTAAATATAACTAAAGCCTTATGCAATACAAATTATTAATATTTTTATATATATATATAATATTATATTTTATATAAATACTCTGAGCTTGGTTTAGGTTACAAATAAACTAGTCTAAGCTCTTATTCTTATATGTAATTTTTATTTTGTTACAAATAACCTTAGTTTATTTCAGTATTTTTGTATTAAAATATATAGTTAAAATTATTAATAAAGATATAAGCAAAGCTTTAACTTAATACTAAAAAAATAAATACTTTGAGCTCCTATTCGAATTAGTGTAACTTAAAATTACAAATATGCCAATCCAACTGATTGTTAAGAAACAGATTGTTATAACAAAATTAATTTTCAAATTTTATTATAGATAGAATTTGAACACTAGATCTGTTATTTAAAAATGACAACCTAACTACTATATTTAAAACTATATTTATATTATTTTTAAATATTATAATAACAGAATTAATTATAATTATAAAACTTATTTCTGTTTATATAAAACTATTTGATCAAATATATTTTAATATTAATACTTGTTTATCTATTAACTAAACTATTTATAAAATTAATATTTAATTATTTTTTAAATCAAATATTATATGGAAAATATTAGCTATAAAGATATAAAATATTATTTAAAGTAAAATAACAAATAAATAAATATACCAACAAGACTTTTATATAAACTAATAATAAATACTAGTCTAAAAATAGAGTAAAAAAATAACAATAATCAAAAATCTAAAACTAATAATAGAAATAATAATCTATAATTAGATATATTTTTAAAAAAGATTAAAATAATCTAAAAAAATATATTGCATAACAAAAAAAAAACAGTACAAGAAGAAATGTTTTTATAAAATATATATTAGGCAAACTTCTAAGCTGATCTGCGGGTTGATAGCGAAGTAGTTATGCTCCCAAGTTACCAATCGCAAAGTTGCCGATTCAAGTCCAACAGAAGATAAAAAAGTAAGTTAGGACTATGATTGTTGATTAATTACAGCAGGTGATGCATTATGAAAATAAGAAGATCTTTGGTACCCAGATTCTTAAATAGTGACAGACCTGATATAAGAAGGTCATGATGATTAGGAGACTGAGGATAATAATAGAACAAAGAAATCCCCAATTAGAAATAGTCTCAGTGAAATTCTGGGGTAATAGGAATACAAAATTAGTATATAAATAGTATTGTAAAATGTATATAAATAAAAATATAAAATGTAGATGAGGTCCTGATAGAAGGTCCTGTGAACTTGAAAATTTGAACTAATAAAATAGCCGCCAACTGCAGCCTACTAGTGATCAGACAGTAGGAATTCAAAAAAAAAAAAACTTCTAAGCTTGAAAAAATTCAATAAAAGAAGACCAGATATATATGCAATTGCAGAATTTCAAGTTTGTCAAAATAAAGTTAAAAAAATACAAGAATATCTGATATTATGCAAAGAATAAGTAAATCTTTAGAAAAGGATATAGAAAGTATTTATTATGATAATCTAAAAAAGATTAAAAAAAGAAGAAAAAATCCAAGTCTTATTTTATGTATTATATATAATATTTTTTAGAAAAATAGAAATAGAAAAAATAGAAATAAAGAAAACACCAATTAAAAACCTAATTCTAAAAGTAACTTAAAACAAACTAGTATAACTTCTAAATATAAAGATAAGATAAAAGTTTGTAAATATAATAACAAAAACAACTTGAAATATTTTTTATAAACAAGTTTAAAGAATATATTGCAAAAAAGTTAATATAGAAAAAAGAAATAAAAATAATTAGCAAAATAAAAAAGAAACCCAAAAGAAGAAGAATCTAAGCAAAAAGAAAAAGACTAATTAGCAAAAGATAGAAGAAAGCAAAAAAAAAAGAAAAACAAATTGAAGATGAAATTAGAAAGACAATGTTGAAGCTTGTTGAAAAGAAAAAAAACTCTTTCATTATAAACTTTAAGTAGTTAGACAAGCAGCTACTTCTGTTTAAAGTAATGTAACAGATTGCATTTAGACACCATTAAGATGACTAGGTAATGCTAGGCTTAGTTGTTAAATATATCTATGTAATTACAAAAGTAATTCCAAGAATCTTAATAAAGTACTAACATGACTACTTAAAGAAAAAAAAAACAAAATATCATATTTTTTCTAATTATATTTTAAATATACAAATCTAAATAAGTTTTAACTATTTTAATAAGTTTAAATTACAAATAAATATGCCTAAGCTTTTATTCTTAAATATAATTTTTCATTATTTGTACTTAGAACAATAGTTATATAATTAATAGTTTAAATACTAATCCTAACTGCAAGTGTTGATCTTGATCATAACATTACTTTCTGTATCTAGTAATTTATGTAATTACTAATTTTAAAACAACTAATAAAGATATGATCATGACCTTATCTTATACCAAAAAAAAACAAAAAGAAATATACCATACTCTACAATTTTGTTAGCTTGCTTATCACTCTAACCAGAAGGAATAAAGAAAATAATAACATAAAACAATATCAAAGTAACAATACTTAAACAATTCTTGGGATCGGTATATTCGGCAAAACGGAGTCTGTGCTGTCAATCAAGAAAATGGTCAAAACAGGTTATAATCCTGACCGGAAATTCAACACATTGTTGCGGTTAAACTAGCTTAGAAAATAAAGCTAGCTATACTTACATCGGAATTACGGAATTATGCGCATAATAATCAAAAAATACTTGTACCATTTCTCATTTTCTAAAGAATTCATGTTATGTCATGGGCCGTCGCTTATTTATCGACGATAATGCGTTACTTGATCAGTTGCTATATCAGATATGGTCTAGTCCCGTGATAATAATAGTATATATATATATTTATTAGAGTACTTCTGTGCAGCTGCTGAACTTCTAACTTTGTCATAAAATACATAAAAGGAACATTCTCCTTGTAGAAGCTAACTAAACCCTCTATATAAATATACTTTAGAGTTCCTTCTTTTTATTTTCACAGAACTTTTTATATTAATTAGGAACACTAAATACTAGTTTCATTTGTCAAATGGAGATCTCGCTGTAAGTTTAAACACCCGATTCACTTCCAGCATACCCAAAACAAACTTGATGCCGTATGTATGATATGCAGAGAACTCCCTCGGCTTCTTCTTCGCAATATTCAGCTTCACCTCCATATTATGCTGCAAATCAACCTCCTATAACACCAAATCCTCCACGTCAAACAAGGACAGACCAGATCTTTCAGGTTAGTTTCAGTGCGCATTAACGTTCTATTTTTTTTTCTTTATATCCAAAAAGCCTTTATGACCTGGAAATTCGAAGGCTAACTTAGGTGTATGACTTGATCTTTTCAAAAAACGTAGAACTTTTATACAAAAGTTGCCCAAGTAGTCACTCACGCGCGTCTCGTACAATATGATAGTCAGATAAGCGGAAGAGGTTCATCAAATGCCAACGTAGTTTTACCTTCGCGCCAGCCTACACATCCTAAGAGGCATAACAGATGGGTACGTATAATCTATGCTTAATAAAATGATTATGTATTTTTCACCAAAATAAGAATAAAATACGATTCTTTTCTAATGATATTTGTGATAAACTCAATGATTAGTTTAATCTAGAACTGTGGGATTCAGATGTTTACAAAGACGGCCTCAAATATTGGCGTCAGGCATCCCAAGCGTCTACAGGAACTGTACCACTTCCTATGATAATCGAGTTTTTTCTGGATGTGTCAGAGTTAAATAAAAATCAAATTCTCGTTATAACAGATGAGATTTCAAGGAGGCGAAGAGTTGATTTGCACAATCTAAGTGGGTCTAACGAGAACGGTAAATCAAAGAATATTATGTTGGAACGTTGGCAATTGACTTTAAGGTAATATTAATTGAAAATTTGTATAAGTTATTCTATTAGGATTTTAATTTACTTATTCATAAAATCCGTATAAAATCCATAATAAATAGCCATCCTATACCTGATCCTCCACCGGACCTACCTGTTGTCTATAAAAAATGTATCGCTTTTTTTCGATCATTGTATGCTTACGTTAGGCTGTTACCAGCATATCGCCTTTACAGACGAATAAGAAAAAGGAAATTGTGCGATTCTTTGAAAATTGATTATAGGTTTGTATTGCCAACAAGCGGAATTCAAGATCATATTGGTATAGGTCAGTGTTTTTCTTGAAATTTAGAGTTTTACAAATATTTTTATTTATAAATGTTGGGTCTTTATATAATTCAAATTTCAGATGTACCTATAATAGAGGGAGAATCAAGACCAACATCAATTGATTTTAAATTTAATCCCATTGATACACCTTTAGGGTAATAATCATTTTGTTAAATATTTCAAACTAATGAAATAACTATTTTCTCATTATAAATAATTTTTTATATTATAGCGTGCTATCATTAAAAGTCAATTATAGGACAAATTGTGAATTTTATGTTGATGATTCTTCAGAAGCACTTTTAAGTTCAAAATTCATTGACATGGATGAAAATTACTTTACACCAACAATGGTCCGTTATTATCAACTAGAAGAACAAAGACAACAGGAAAAATTAGAAAGACGAAAAAGCGTTCCAACCCACATGGAGGTTTGTATCAAATTGTAATTCTGAAATAAAATTTTAGTAGTAGTAATAATAATATTGCTAAATGTCATATAGACACCTCCCCCTGGTTTTCTACATCCAGGGTCTTCACCTAAACACACAAATAGCCAATTAACTGTTGAAATTCCGCCAATTCGAACACTTAGTCCATCTAGGTCAAATCCTGAATTGAAAGAGCATAGTTCTGGTCTTACATTCCCAAAAATTTACGCACAGCCTAGTCCAGGAACTCTTGGATCAAATTTATCGGCACCGTCTCTATTCTATAGGTCACCAGACTCAAGGCGTGGATCTCACACTTTAGAGCCTATTATGGCGAGTCCTACGTCACCGAGTTTAGGAGTATTTATTTCGTCACATTTTTTATTATATTTAATTTCATGTTTATAACAATTATATATCTAATTTATGTAGCATCGTGAAATACTTTACTCGTCATTATTTCCGACTTCGACAACACGTCCCACCGTTACGTTAGTACAACCTTTTAAATCTCCATCGCTTTCTTCTTCCCCAGTGAATCATCATGAGATAATGCCTCCATCTCCAACACTTTTTGAGCGAACATCTACTTCGCCTTTGCATCGATCACCTTCACAACTTTCTTTACAACAGCGAAGTACAACAGCAAGGCCAATGTCTATTGAGAGCGGTACAATACCAGCAATGTCCTCATCTGTGAAATCGACTTCTTCTGCTGGAAGTCCTAGTGGCTTTCCCAAATTTTCTTCGAGCTTTACCAGCTTCACTCATCGATATGATAAGGCTACCGGCTCAACTACAAGGGAACGTGATGGCAGCTTCAGTAGTCGACGACGTTCGACAATTAGGAGTGACGGTTCTACCAGTGATAGAGGATCTATTTCAGTTAGTCATATATATATTTTATTGCTTGTTATTATTTATGTTTAAAGGAAAAAAAAGCGATAGAATGAATAATTGACATCTCAGGTTGTCATATTTTCGTCGTTTTGCAGTCTTTCTTTGCAAACCCAGACGATGACGTAGGTGAATTTGTACGGATGGTAGATAGTCGAGAACCACTGAAAATGTTTAGCAGAAGTCCAACTGGTTCGGACGACACCGGTGGTTCAGCGCGTAATCTATCCGGTTCTGTATACCGAACTCAGGTATTAATATATATCATTAACTGTTATAAATTTATAATTAAACGTATTATTTAAGTGCTTTAACATGATATATAGTTGCAACTATCACGATTTCAAAAGCTGAAAGAATCGCACAGAAATTTATCAGAATCAATAACAGGTACAGGTGATGATATTATTACTGGTTCTCCTTCATCAGGAATTTCACTACGTGTTCATCAAGCAAAAGCAGATGACGACGATATGTTTTTTACAATGAGCGAATTTGCTGATGATAAGACTAATAGTGCTGTGAATAATGTTTCTGGTACAGATAGCAGAGAGGAGAAATAAGGTTTTCGAAAGTGTGGGTGGATAAAGCGATTGTAATTGGTTCCGAAAAGAAATAAAGAAAATTTAACGACAGGAATATAAATATTTTTGGGGGGGCTAACGAAATGAAATGAGTAATTTTTGAGAAAGGCATTAGCAAGAATTAATGGTCGATTCCCAAATTTGTTATCTGAAGTAGAGGTCTTGTCCGACAAATGATAAGCGGGAGGGACGTCCCAAACAAGGAAATTGCGTTGACGTTCTGATCTTGTATGTCGTCTTGGCCAACAGAAATCGTGAATGTTGATAAGCGTTAGGAGAAAACATCGTGCTCTCTTACTGAAATAGGTGAATCGTTACGAAAACAAATTGTATTACACTGTAGTTTTTCACTTGAGCCTTAAGGTTTAAATTATTATTATTTTTTTAAATATTAAAATTAGTTATATGAAATTTATGATTATAATTCTTGCATAACATTAAACCAAAAAATATGGTATTTAATATACATGGGTATAACCGATTTAATTATATAAATGCGAGCAAAATGATTGTTCTAAATATTCATATGAGCAAATCCAATGCACATTGATCCATGATTTCCTTTTATAGGGAACGTCTAAAGCGATGTATGATGCCATTTTTAATAATTAGAACTAGGGTTAGTTCTGGGGCTAAGTTTCAATTTTCAAGAAAAAAGTTTTTTTCGTTGTTTTTGCTCCCAAGTCTTGATTTAATGGTGGTTACGATAGGGTTGGGGCACGGTGTCCCACCGTAGACCGTTGTCCGCACACATGACATCAATCATTGGAAATTATCACGGGTAGATCTATAATGTCCGTGACTAACTAGTGACTATCTAACACTAAATAAGTTAATCGTCAATCTCATTATCTTCTTTTTTTTCGTCTTTTAACTTCTGTTTTTTTTTCTATCTTTTTTTTTTGCATTTGTTTATTGTTTTCTATTACTACTGTTATACACTTTTTCCTGAAGGGACTTACGTCGGTGATTATAAATGCCCATGGAGATAAAACTCCTAGAAGAAGTCTCATCTAGTGACACGGCTGGTTAATGCTTGTCAAATCAGTCGAAACATTGAGTTTATTTTTTATATATTAAAATTGGTTTTTAATCGGTTTTAACTTATGAGAAATAAAAGATTCTTCATGTTGCTTCCATATTCAGATTTTTGATTTTTTACTCTAAAAGCCTTTTGAATCACCTGAGTATCAGTGTTTATGTCATAGGATTTGGATAACCAATTGATAGAGACAGGACCAGGGCGTAGTCCAAAATTTCCGAATCCGGACTGCAGATCATTTCCGATCTGGCTCCGGAATCTAATGTAGTTTAAACAGAAAAATAAAAATTTAACCTTTAAGCAAAGATATCTCAACAACCACCTAATAAAATTCAATAAAATTTTTTTTATTTGAATTCTACAGATTCGTAGAATTCAATAAAAAAAACTTTCATCGAATTTGGTCAGGTAGTCACCAAAATATCTTCACTCAAAGTTGGAGGAAATTTAAAACGTAGATCAAAATAGAAGCTGTGCTGAATTATTTTTAAAACCTTGAGTCAAGATATCTCGACGACCACCTAACCAAATTCGATGAAAATTTTTTTATTAGAATCCTACAGTTTTGTAGAATTCAAATAAAAAAAAAAATCATCAAATTTGGTCAGATGGTCGCCGAGATATCTTCGCTCAAAGTTGTAGAAAATTCAAATCATCTATCAAAATAGTAGTTGTGCTAAATTATTTTTAAAATTTAAGCAAAGATATCTCGATGATCACCTAACCAAATTCGATGAAATTTTTTTTATTTGAATTCTACAGATTTGTAAAATTCAAATAATAATCATTTCATCAAATTTTGTTAGGTGGTTACTAAAATATCTTCGCTTAAATTGAAGAAAATTTAAAATGTATATTAAAATAGAAGTTGTACTGAATTATTTTTAAAACTTTGAATGAAGATATGTTGATGCATCTGACAAAATTTGATGAAATAATTTTTTATGAATTCAAATTAAAAAATTCTAATTGAATTTGTCACATGTAATAAAGATTATTGCATTATTATATACTAATATATAATTTTATGTACACATATTTCTGCAGAAATAAGCATTTTTGCGGTCTTATAGCAAAGGGTTGTCAATGTTTAAGAAGTTTTTCTAAGTTTTTTTTTTAGACTTAGCATATTCTAATCACTGTTATGATTTGAATAATATTCTCTAAACCTGAAGATCTGTTACTCTTTCTTGAAAATATTACCAAATAGATTAGAATTATTAATACAAACTTTTTAAAAGTATTTTTTAAATAAATTTATTTAATATTATTCAAAGTAATTTGGTAACTAGACATTGCACATGTGAGCAGCTTCACTGCCCAGTTTCAAAACTAATAATCAGATATGTATAATAGCAAGTATAATAATAATACATTATTAATTATTATTATTTGATAATGTTTTTATTTATAGCTATCTTTCTTGCTTTGCTCAGCTCCTTTTAAACTCAGTTTTACATTTCATTTATATCACAATGTTTTTACTAATTTTTTTTCTATTATTCTTGGCCTTACTTTACTTAACAGATTTCAAACTTTATATTTTTTTATAGAATAACTAAGTAGTGAAGCCATCTATATGTATAATGTTTAGTTAATGAAAAACATTGTATTGAAGAGTTGAAATTAGGATAAAATAGGTATTAGCTATAATTATTGTATTTCAGTCTAAGTGAATCTCAAATCAATATTAGTTTTATTCTCATTTACAACATTAATCATGGCAGAATCAAGTTTTAATCATATTTCATAGCATATATATTAATTTAAATGTAAAAATAATTGTCTAATTCTTTTGCTATAATCTTTTTTTATTATCAAATCATCTGTCTGATAAAGAATCCAAAAAAAAAAAACTAAAAAACTGAAAATACACAGAAGTATATTTATAAACTTAGGTAGAAAACTAATAAAAATACACAGTGAGTGGTTAAATTCTATATTACATCTAGATTTTGTATTTAATGTATCAATATATATGAAATATGAAATATCAATTCAATATTGATATCCTTTCTTGAAATTGTAAGGAAATTTTGGCCATAGATCTCCTCACAAAGATAATACAAGCTACTAAAATTGCATAACCTAACTCATATATAATAAAAAAGTTGATACAATCTAGTTTATATATATATGTAAATTATTACAAGATAAACCAATCAAAATTATAAATATCTATCTTGCTTATTGATTATTCTATAGATCTAAAGAAAAATCTTGAATTTAGCTTCTCTCAACAAATTAAAAAAATAAAAAGCAATTATATTTTAACTGTCTATGATGTGATATGTATAATATTAATATATAAAATTTATAATAATTAATAATTATAATAACTAATAAAATATTTTTTTAAACTTATTAGAAATGAAGACTGAGCAAATGATCAATATTCAATATGCAAACTACTAACTGCCTATCATATAGAAAATAGATTCTTTAAAAAATAGATCAAGTTAAGTTTAAAATTAACATAAAAGATTTTTTTATTTAATTTATAAAAACATAGTCCATGATTTTGCATTCCAGGTTTTATCACATTTTAAATTATACTATGATCTTTTAATATTATTAATAATAGTAAATGCTCAATTTATATTATTAACTACATTATTAACATGTTGTATATTATTAATAGATAATTCTTCTTTAAAATGGTTTACTAGATATTCCAACTCATCCACTTTGGCTTTACATTGCTAATGAAGCTCAGGATCAACTGTTTCATTGTCACCATCAGCAATAAAAACTGGTTTAGATTGCATTTTTGAATCAAAATTAGGTGTAAGAAGAATATCATTTGTTCACTACCATCCTAAATAAGAAATGGGTAATTTGTTTGTTACTTAAACTTTTTGTAAATAAGTCGGATTCCTTCTGAATTTTGTTCTTTTGCCTTCTCAATTATACAGTGGACTAGATGTTTGCAAATGAGAAATTAGTTGCAAAGAAATGACAGACAAATGCATACCCAACAATCTAGGTCAATTGCATAATGTTTCTTTGAATTATCACTAATTAATATTGTAGCAAGTTGATTCCAATTTTTTTTGAACTCTTCAAACCATTTTGGTATTATTTAGCCAAGTTTCATTTGTTGAAAACAGATGATTTGATCAGGTAAGACATGAGAACAGATCACTCACACAAGATAATCTAATCATGGTCAGTTAGAATGATAGAGATAACAATGTTTGAGCACTCACTAGTATGTCTCAATCATCATATTTGTTTTTGCAATAGGTATTGTTGCATGCATTAAACATGTCCAAAGACACTATCATGATGTTTTATATCATAAAGACCACAGATATGACCATAATAGTACTAGATTATTTTCAACACAGAAATTATATATTTCATATATTGCACTTTCTTGAATCTCTGCAGACATTAAAAATTTATTATTAGCATTAAAAAGAATTTTTTAATGCATGTTAAAATGCTTTCTAATTAAATTTATTACTTTGTTTTATAGGTTTAACAGACAAATTTTATAATATTCAGGTTTAAGGCATTTTAAATTTGGCTTAAAGTCTGAACTTATAAAATTAAACTCGATAATGGCTTCTTTAGACTGATAATATGTATATTGAATTTTTTTGCAGCTTTTTAGTTTTTTCATTATTGCATGTTCAACATGCCATTGACAAAGCTATATATCAGCATTTGGCCAAGCCTCCTTCACTGCATTTATCTCAGTGAAATCTTTGTCAGTATAAAAATAATTAGAATTTAATTTGTAACTATGAACTAAGTTAAAAAAACTAGCAAGAGTATTAGTCTGCAAATAATCATGCAATTCTTTTTCTTGGGTTTTTGTAGTATTTAAAATCAAATAGGCTAATAGAAAATCTGTGCTATCTATACTTCCAACAAGACCATATAACTCAAACTGGCCTTTTGCAGTTTTATATATTGCATCACAATGAACTTCTGATGTCAAAATAGTACTAAACAAAGGTGTTATAAAACCGATTGCAGTTACTTTATCAGTGGTTAATTCAAAACAAAGTTTGCAACTTACTGAATTTGTCATAAGGAAGGTTCGTGTTAAAATAATATGATCATTATTTATTATGTATGAGTCCTGTATAAATACTGACCACCAATAATGAATTTGCTTTGCTGTTATGTTTAACATATCAAATTTATTGCAAAGAATCATTTAAATTTGTATTGGATCCATATGAATATTTGATCGAATTTCTTGCTTAATCTCTTCTACCATTGTAGTATCATTTGGCTTTTCATGAAGAATACTATGGTTAAGTTTTATCATTGATTCTATTGCAGATAAATTAATATGAATAATCAACCTGCCATGACAATCAAATTAAGCAATTCTTTTTTAGTTTGATAGTTTATATTCACATTCTAGTTCATAGCATTGAGAGCATAAGAAATAATATATAGCAACATTGTTATATCGAGTCAAGACATGAGGTGCTGTTGTGGCTCTAAATTTTTTTAGTTAAGTTAAATATTATTTTTTTTATTTTTAATTTAATTTATGTTAACTTATGTCCATATATAATCATCACCTTCTTCAATTTTGTCTATAATTAATCTTACTATGGATTTAAGATCAGGTTCTTTCTGTGAAAAAATATCATTAAAATCTATACATATTTTAAATGAAATTCCAGTATTTTTTTCTGTATTGAAAATTAATTCTGCTACATAGTCACTAAGGGCTTGTGGTAAAATTAATTTCACAATAGTTTCATCATTATAATCGCTATCTAATTTTGATTTTTTTTCTGTTGCTCTTTTTTTTGATTTAGAATTTAGACAATTTATGCATGTTTTGTAGGTTTTTCCTTTTGATGTAAAAAATTCAAATGAATAATAATAAGCACAAGAGGTGCAATAATTCATTTTTATATAAGGTATGTGAAGAAAAACTCGATTTGTATGAAAGTTGTTCGTTTTGTATTAATTTATACAAAATAGATATTAATATTAATATATTATGTACATGTAGTCAATGCTTAATATTTATTAGAGATATTTCTATATGTTTTGATAGTTGATAGTTTGTTTTAAATTAATCTGTTGGTAAATTATTTTATGCATTTAATGATGTGCATTTAATACAAACAAAAATCAGTTAACAATTATAATGTATGATAGATCTTTATTAAATTCTAACACAGACTGATTCTTTGAAACACTTACAACTTTAGTAATATAATTATTAAAGGCCCAATATTTGTAATCTCAAATACTCAATTACAAAATTTAATATCTTAACAATTTAATATTATGACAATTCGATATCAAAATCTTGAGATTATGGATGTTAAATCTTCTAAATGATCATGATATTAAATATTTTACTTGCCACTTATAAAATTATTATTTGAGTACTGCCAAATTAAAAACTGGAAGTGAATATTTAAGTTTCCCATATCAGACTTATCTCTAAAAAATCTTATGATAAAGTTAATTGTGAAGGTTCTTTATAATTAACTTTATTGCAGAGGGTTTTTTTAAAAAATTATTTAATTCAGAAACAGTTTTAATAAAATATTCCTAAAATAGGAATAGTACATATTTTGCAATCGAGATTTAAACTAATGCTAAATAAAATGAAACCTAATTTAGATCATGCTTTTTGTTTGATATTTTTGGATACCCATATACTGTTTAACAATTTCGCTAACTAATTGACAAAATTTGATGATTTTTTTTTATTTGAATTCTACGAAACTATAGGATTCAAACAAAAAAATTTTTATTGAATTTGATTAGGTGGTCCTTCGCTCAAAGTTTTAAAAATAATTTAATATAGCTTCTATTTTGATAGATATTTTGAATTTTCTCCAACTTGAGTGAATATATCTCGATACCCACCTAACCAAATTTGATATAAAAAAAAAATTATTTGAATTCTACAAAACTGTAGAATTCAAATAAAAAAATTTTCATTAAATTTGATAGAGTGGTCATCAAGATATCTTCGCTTAAAGTTTTAAAAATAATTCAGCACAGCTTCTATTTTGATAGATATTTTGAATTTCCACCAACTTTGAATGAAGATATCTTGGTGACCATTTGACCAAATTTGATGAAAATTTTTTATTTAAATTTGCAAATCTGCAGAGTTCAAATAAAAAAAATTTCATCGAATTTGGCTAGGTAGTCATTGAGATATCTTTGCTTTAAGGTTAAATTTTTTATTTTTTTATTTAAATTTTATTAGATTTCAGAGCTAGATCGGAAATGATCTGTAGTCTGGATTCAGAAATTTTGGACTATATTCTGGCCCTGTCATTAATAGATATTATATAATTATTGGATATAAAGCAGCCAATAATGAGAATTATTTGTAAAATAATTTATTATCTAACTATATAGCATGCAATAACAGTTTTATTTAGTGATTTATAACATTAAATGATTTGAGTTTTTGGTAAGAATTATAAGTTGTTAAATAATAAAGTTATTTAGTAGTATAGTTAGATTTTTTTTTCATTAAGGTCATTAGTTATTGGAGCTATTGTCTTTATTGTAATTTAATTATGATTACATAACTTGTATAAGATGAGTGTACAACTAGTTATATGTACAATTTTTGGCTATCTATTTAAGTAGTTTGCTTACAAGTTTTATATTAGTTGTTATACCTGTAATCTGTTAGAAGATTATCTAATTAAACATTCTGATTTTTATATTATATCTAACAGATAGTGCACAAGTTCCCATATACTAAAATGTTGTTTAACCTAATCTTGATTTTTCTGTTTATATATTTTTAAGTTATTATATATTTCAAAATACACTATTTAATTGTAAAATTTTAAAAAGTCTTCTTGCTAACTAACTACTTATATTTAATCTTTTGTTAACAAGATTTATTTTTGCAAAGTTTACTTAAATTTTTTTTTTTTTTTTTTTTTTTTTTTTTTTTTTTTTTTTTGTGTGTCCTTTTTTTTTTCTTTTTTGATTTCTGTTACTCTTTACTTGTGTGTATCTCGGTC